TATGCCTCCTTGTTTTGGATTCCCCCAATCTAAGGAAATGACCTTGGCTATTCACCTTATCTATGCCTCTCATGATTTTTTAAAGCTCTACAAGGTCACCCCTCAACCTCTTACAATCCAGGGAATAAAGTCCCAGCCTAACCAGCCTCCTTATTAACTCAAACCTTCCAGTCCCGGTAACATTCTTGTAAATCTTTTTTGCACCCTTTCCAGTTTAATAACCACCTTCCTGTAGCAGGGGGACTAGAACTATACAGAGTACTCCAAAGTGGCCTTACCAATGTCTTGTACAGCCGCAACATGATTTCTCAATTCCTATACTCGGTGCTCTGACTGATGAAGCCAAGCGAGCCAAATGCCTCCTTCACCACCCTGTCTGTTCGACGGTACTCCCCAGGGCCCTACCATTAACTATGTAAATCCTGCCCTGGTTTGCCTTACCAACATGCAACATCTCACATTTATCTAAATTAAATTCCATCTGCCACTCCTCTGTTTTATGAATACAAGTTGTTTTGTACTAAACAAAAAATAACCAAACAACTGCTGATGCTGGAAATCTGAATTGAAAATAAAAACTGTTGGAAAAACTCTGCAGATACTGTAGCATCTGGAGAGAAATAGAGTTAACATTTCGGGGTCCAGTAACCCTTCAAAACTGAGTAGGCTTGCTGAGTTTTGATAACAATTTCTATTACAAGTTGTTTTCTATTGGGTTAGTAATGTGAAGTGTGTTTCAGGATGGTAAGTTAAAACAGGAAGTTGAAGTGTATGATTTGTCTGTGAACAGTTAGCTCAGAGTACATGATCTATTTTTCAGCAGACTTCCTTTAGTAAGCGTTGATTATTGATTTATAATTTGTTCAGAGTTGTGTCATTGCCAGCTTAGCTAGTATTTATTTCCTATCATTGTTTTGAGAAGGTGTGGTGAGTTGCCAACTTGAACCATAGTGGTCCTTGGTTGTAGGTGTTTTTAGGTAGGGTTTTCAAGCCTTTGAGCCAACGACAGTGAAGGGGCAACAATATAGTTCTAAGGCAACGTATTGTCCGACTTGGATCGAAACTTGAATCTGTTGCCCTGTCCTACGTGGCAGAGGTTGGAGGTTTGTAAAGTACTGTTAAGGAGCTTGGGTGAGTTGCTACAGCATCTTGTAGGTCGTCCATGGTGAGTGTTAAGGCGATGAATGAGGTGCCAGTTAGGCAGAATGTTTCGTTCTGTTCAAGGCTGAGTTCTTAGTGGAACAACAGTTGCTGAAACAACACACATGCAAGCGTGTGAAGAGTATTCCATCATGCTCCTGTCTTGTGCCTTCATTGATAGAGGACAGCAAATGTGAAGATAGGAAGTGAATAACTTGTGACAATATTCCTAGCCACAGTATTTGCATGGCTGGTTCAGTTTCTAGTCAGTGGTAAATCCCAGGTGTTGATCATGAATGATTCAGCGATGGTAATGATGTGGGGTGTCAAGGAGTGATAGTATTCATTGCCTGGCACAAATGTTGCTTGCTACTTATCCGCCGAAGCCTGGATGTTGCTCATGCCTTGTTGCATATGAACACTGACTTCTTCAGCATCTAGGAGCTTCAGGTGGTGCTGAAATATTGCACAGTCCTTGGCGAACATTCCCACTTCCTCCTCCATAATGGAGAGAAATTTGTTTCAAAGCACCTGAAGATAATTGAGTCAAGGGCATTACTCTAAGGAACTTCTTCAGCTGTATACTGGAATTTAGATGATTGGTCTCTACAGGCACATCTTACTTTGTGCTAGTTATTACGCTAACCAGCAGATTTCCCCTGATTCCCATTGGCTCTAGTTGGCTAGGGTTCCTTTTTGTCACTCTTAGTCAAATGCAGCCTTAGGCTGGTCATTCTTGCTCTATATTCCATCTTTAGATAAGACTGTAATTGGGTTAGGATGTGGTGGACCCAATCTAAGCATCATTGAGCAGGTTGTTGATGAGAAAATACTGTTTGATCACAATGTCAACAATCCCCTCCATCACTTTAATGATTGAAAGTGGATGATTAGCCTCGTTTGATCTATGTTGCTTTTGCCCTTGGGCAGGACATACCTGGGCAATTTTCCACATTGTTGGATAGATTCCAATGTTGTAGCTGTACTGGAAGAGGTTGGCTAGGGGTATGACTAGTTCTGAAGCTCAAATCTTCAGTATTACTGCTAGAATGTTTTCAGGGTGCATAGCCTTTGCCATATCCTGTGCCTTCAGCCATTTCTTTGTCACATGAAATGAATCAAAATGCCTGAAAGTTGGAGTCAATCATGCTGGGAATGACAGTAGGAGACCAGGATGGGTCATCCACTCAGCACTTCTGGCTAAGGATGGACCCAAATGCTTCAACCATGCCTATTTGCACTGATATGCTGGAACTCCCATTTTTGGGGATAAGATATTTGTGAAGTTGCCGCCTTCTGTTAGTTGTTTAAGTCACAAATTGTGGACAGTTAATACAGCAGAATAGTGGAACTGGAATCTAGTCCATTGCTTTGGAATTGCTTAGCTCTGTCTGTTGCATGCTGACTTTGTTATTTGAGTTACTAGACACCCTGTGATGGGCTCACCAAATTGACACTGTCTTGAACACTTTCTGAAATAGCTATAAGTGAACTGTCATTGATCAAATCAGATTATTTAATAATGTATGCATCAGAAAGCAATGCACCATTACTATATACTTCTTCATCACATATTTGGAAATCTTAGTAAGACAGAAATAGCAGCACTGTTCATGCACTCCCCAGTAAAATGAAGACTATTTCAAATGTGACTTCATTTCATTAGCTTTTTCTGTAACGAGAGGCTGGACACTGAAAGTTAGTTTGGAACTGAAAAAATGAATTTTGTTCCCAGTGATTTTTTTTTGTGTGTGGCATGTACTGGTCTGGCCAAAATCAACAATTCATACCTTTTTTTTATTCATGTCGTGATGTGCGCCTATAGCTAATAGCAACAATATTTAGAAACATATTGTATCTGTCAGAGAAGACAAGGAGGTTTTACTTGATCATTTCTACATTTTACTATCTGTTATGAAATGTTTTTAGTCTCTTAAAAATAAACTGACCTAACTTGAACATCTGTATATACGTCGCACTGCTTGCAAGCCAGGTGTGTTTGGTTGACTTTGTTTTCTTGCTCTCCAGGTGAAGATGACAAGCTGATCCTGTGTGATGAATGCAATAAGGCCTTCCACTTGTTCTGTTTGAGACCAGCCCTCTACGTGATACCAGACGGAGAGTGGCTATGTCCAGCTTGTCAGCCAGCCACAGCTAGACGTGGCACACGTGATAGGTAATCCTTCAACCAGCTTACCACTGCAGCGCCTGTTGACTTCTGACCTCCTATATTCTTTTCACAACAAAGTTATGCTGCTGCTGAAATGGATTCCAACTGACCTAACTGTCTAAAACTTTAAAAATAACTCTTGCTTATGCATTCCATTAATGTTTTGAGCTGTATTAGACCAGCCTCCCTTTCTTATTAAGTTATTTTGTATACAACTTGGTAGACAGTACTCCTGACCAATAATTTACTTCATTCATAGTCAGACCTACTTTAAAGCAGCTCTGTATTTCTAAATTAAGATTTTTTGTTTGTTTGTTTATCTTGTGTCCACAATCTTGTACTGTACCTCCCAAGTCCACCTCCGGGAGACCCGGAGACCCATAATAGCCTAAGAATTATGGTTTGGGCCAATGAGAACATAGTGACGTTGGATAGTCTGGCCAGAGAGTCTACTGTTCATTTAGCATGGTAACTAGTGACAACATGTTAACAATGATTCAGTATGTGGTTGGTGCTTACTCTTCGCAGTACTTTAAAATGAGGTTTTATTGTTAACATTATTTCATGATTAACATGAAAACTGATTTCGTTTTTGTAATAATTCAACACATGCTGTTTTATTTGGGAGCAGGGAATTGCATTTTTTTTTGCAGAAGTTGAGTTGTTGCGTTCCATTCTTCCTTAATAGTTAGGAACAGAGGAAATTGGAATGTTTTTCTAAAAATTGGCAGAACAGAATTCTAAGATGCAATAGCATGAAGTTATATTTATCCACTACCTTTAATACAATGAATTGGCCCAATGTGATTTAGACGTGCTTTTTAAAACAATATACGCCACCAAGGAAGCCACAAAAAGATATTGATCCAGACAACCAAAAGCCTGGTCAAAGACAAACATTTACATTTAAAGGAGTGCCCATAAGGACGAACACAAAGTGGAGAGATGATAGGAGGATATTTCGGAGTAATGGAAGATGTGGCCACCAGTGGTGGAGCCACTAAAAGCTGGGGCTCGCGACCAGAATTAGAAGAGCTCAGATATCTCAGGGTTGCACGACCAGAGAAGAATACAGCAAAGGGGAGGGATGAGGTATGGAAAACTTTGAAGACAAGGGTAGGAGTTTTAAAATCAAAACATTGTCTGACTGGGAACTAGTGTAGGTCAGTAAGCACTGTGAACGTAGATGACTGGGATTTAGTATGTAAATCAGTTTATCCATCAAAAGTACATTCACCAATTTAAATGTCTAAACTAGTTAGGATTGTTTGCGTATGTGTGAAATCGTGCTTTGAAGTAAATTACCTGCACTCTTTTTTTTACCACCTTTTTAGAAATTATGCTGAGGAGGAAGACGAAGGTAATGAGAATGAGGAGGATGAAGAAGAGGAAGTAGAGGAGGAGGAAGAGGAAGAAGAGGAGGAGGACTATGAGGAGCGAGGAGGTCCCAGACTCAGATGTAAGTTTTGAACTTAACCGTCCACTGCTGGGAAATGATTGTAATGTAAGAATTTAAAATTTGGAGTGACCGTTTGTGTTTTATTGGAATCTGCTTCCCTATTTGAGAGAGCTTTCGCTTCACTGCCTCCCTTAAATTACTTTTGTTTAAGCTGCTTTGTGAGTACTGTCTATTTGCGTTGCAAAACATTGCCCTGTGCTAAGTTCAATTTTAAAATATTATTTATAATTCTCTTACAAGTGCTGTAATGTGGCTATAATGAATAGAACTGTTTTAAATATTGTGGAGTTAACCAAGAAATGCTTAAAATTAAATGAATTTGGTATTTTACTGTACAGTTCAAGAATCTTCTGTGCCCTTATGCAGCTTAGTTAATCTGAAATATAAGCAATGGGGCTACAAATTGCGCGTGTTTCTTTGCCCAAAGGAAGCGAAAGATCAATGAAACCTCCAAGTCTTAATTATTGTCCAATGAGCATGTGGATTTGTTCAGGTTGGGAAGAGCCCGTAGGATTATGTGAACATGAGTCAGCATCTTTGTAGGGAGAAAATTGTTGCAGAGTTTTATGGAAAAACTTAAACTTTCCACTTTCTTGAAAATGAATTGCATCAAATCTTGCAATCTAAATTTCAACATTGTGACAAGAAATTTGGTGACGTAAAAGAGTTGGTAGTGTGCGGCTTTTAGTTTGAACAAAAGTTTTGTCTTTGAATTGGGATGCCACTTGAGTGATAATATTTGTTGTCAGTAGAGTGATCACATATAATTCTTGCTCTTTAAAGCGAGGCTCAGGAAAGCTGCCAAAGGAAAACCAGGCTCTCAGGGCCGCCCTCCTAGGCAGGCCAAACAGCCGGGGAGAAAAAAGTCCCTAAACGGTCACAGCAGGAACACTCGACACAAGACATCACCTGTCAATGGAGTGGACATTGATGAGCTGGTAAGTACAGAGTGCCGAAATTTCAGGACTGGCAACAAGAGAGCTATAAAATGAACAGGTGCTTGTCTGCAAACTCTTTATTCTTGTATTATGTACTACAATCTGGACTCAAGACAACAGATATTCAACTCCATGGAGACAGACCAAACCAGCTTCCAGCATCTTGACCAATTCCTCAAGGAAAACGTTAAGTAATTTCTATTTTGAAAAAAATGTGTACTTTCTACTTTGTCAGGGAAGTGAAAAATCAGTTGCTGCTGTTATACAAAATTATATTGTAGCTAAATCATGCTAATGTAAATTTCAAATACATGTTAGCCATGAAGTAGCATCATTTGGAGGAGGAGGAGGAGAGAAAGGATTATAGATTCTGATGATGGGCAAATGCTACTAGTCCTAAAATCTGATTGTTTAAGTCAGCACTGACAGTAGAAGGAGTGATTATACATTAAAATACCTGATATTGGGAATATAATTTTTCAAAACTAATATTTTTAAGGCAACAGAAAAGTACAAAATGTGTGCAGCATATCCTACTCCAGTATTTGTGCCCTTTCTCACCCACTGCTCCTTGCAATCCTACATAACTTGAGCTACTGATCTGTACAAGCCTGGTAAGTCTCCCACTATGCTGATTTTACTGCCATTGGTGATCATCTCAACCAGCTTGAATTTGGGAAGTAAGAATTGCCTTTGATTAACACCTTGGAGTAGTATTACTGTCTGGCAAGTGTGAGGTCATAATCTGAGGACTGGGTAAATAACACTGAGGTCTGTTGGTTGAGGTTTACACCCAGGTTGCGAATGAATTATTTCTGGAGTCCAATCGCAAGTTGATTTGTTTGCAAGTTGCAGCATAATGTAGGGCTTTAGAAAGCAGCTGTTCACAATTATCGGAAATGTTCATCTGTCAGAACTTCAAATTTTAAAACTGTGTGCGGGATTGCATTCGTAAGTATGAGTGTTCATAAATCAGATGTTCGTAAATTAGGTACTCCCAACTGTCGGGAAACCTGTACCTGACTCGAATTAACCACTTCAAACGATTTCAGGCAGGTAAAGTTACTAAGGAAAAGAAGTGAATAAAACCATGTGCAGGAATTTGAAATTTCTTGAGATAAATATTATTTACTGTGGAGTATGCATTGATTTACTTCACCAGTTTAACTCAGTAGAAATTAATCCAATTTAAGTTGGATATGAATAGTCTTTTGCTTCCAAATAGCATTGACATCCGTGGTGAATCAATTTCGGTTTGTTGTATGATTGGGAGACTTTCGCAGAAACTGCATTTCACCAGGTTTTAGATTCTTTGGATAAAGTGATCACGACCAGTCTATATTTGCCAGGCCTAGGAGTACATTGCACATACTTTAAGACAGCAAATTGGATGAACGATAGCTGAGACAACTATAGAACATATCCAAATCAGGTAACGCCTGGCAAATTTTAGAAACTGTGTTCACCTCAATGGCATATTATCAATAGGAGAAGGATCATATACTGACTGAAAAGTGGTGCAGTCTTCCAGAATCTGATTCAAACTCCGTGGTGGAATCCTCATTGTCATCACAGCCATAAAATTGCCGTCCAATTGCAGATGACACTAGTTTAACTTTTCCTAAGAAATATGTTTTTAACAAAAGTGACATATTGCCCATTCATTCAGAGGGAGCTTTGTAATTGCTTACCATGACTTGGATATGGGAATACAGCAGTATATTCCCAGATACTGGCTTCTCTTACTCTCTCGAGGTGCTTTAAAATTATGAACAACGCTTAAGCCTCCTAAAAATTGGATGATCAGTCATTCCAAATGTACTGATATGATGAGGGCAGGTGTTCTAATAAAAATCTAATGTGTTTGCTTTTGACAACAAAGAGACTGCACACTGAAACCTGAAATGCACGATCTCATTTGGACTGAATTCATTAAGTGACAAATTATTGCAGATTTTCTCCTCTGTCCCTGAAAGTAGTAATCAAGCTCTATTATTATGGAAGGTTTATTTTTATTTCATTTATGCATTTTGATGCATTATTTCTCGTTGGTTACAATTTGCTCACTCTCTTCAATTTTATTTTATTAAAAGATATTTCCAAGAGTTGTTGTTGGTATTGCACCCCTTAACAAGTATGGCAATATTTTGTCTGCACACTGGTGAGAACTATAAAACTGTGACAAGCCGAATAATACTGCCTTTCTGGTCAGTGACAGTGTAAAATAACAATATTTCCAGCATTAACAAGCTAGTAACCAGCCCAGTGTGCATAGCATAAGTATTAGTTATGCTCATGTCCAGAAAAAAATCAGATAAAACCCTCTTTCCAAGTAATTAATTTAAAAAAGAGAAAAACTTACAGAAAATGCATTTTAAAAATGTATCAATGTATCATATTCGTGATCGTACGTTGTCTGAGAGTACTTTACTGCCAGTATTTGTGGACTACAGTCATTGTTGAGATGCAGCAATCTATTTGGGCACAGCTAACTCCTACAAACAGGAATACAATGACCAGACAATCTGTTTTTGTGATATCGATTGAAGGATAAATCATGACCAGGATTTTGGGAATATCTTCTTTGATGTCCTTCAGAATAGTACGATGAAATCTTTTCTACAACCAAAAAAAAACAAACAGAGCCTCAATTTAAGATCTCATCTGAAAGATGGGACTCCTGCCAGTGCAGCATTCCTTCAGTACTGCACAGGAGTGTCAGCTGTGATTTTGGCCCTGAAGACCTGTAGTGGCTAGATAAAAGTACTGAATTTGAGCTGAAACTGACTTTGTGGACAGACTTTTTTTTTAATTCATTCGTAGGATGTGGATGTTGCTAGTTAGGCCATCATTTACTGTCCACCTCACTTGCCCTTGAGAAAGTGGTAATGAACTGCCTTCTTAAACCAGTGCACTCCATTTTGATGTAGCCCAATGCCTTTTGGGAGGGAGTTCCAGGCTATTGACCCATCAACACCAAAGGGACAATAATACAGCTCCAAGTGAGCATGGTGAATGTCTTGAAGGAGAATTTGATGTTCCCGTTTATCCGCTGCCCTTGACCTTCTAGAGAATAGTTGTAAGTTTGGAAGATGCTGTTGAAGGAGCATTGGTAAACTTCAATAGACGTAAATGGTATGTATTGCTGGTACTGAGTATTGGTTTTAGAGTGAGTGGATGTGGTGCCAATCAGGTGGGATACTTTGCCCTGAATGGTGTTGAGCTTCTTGAGTGTTGTTGGAGCTGCAATCATCCAAGCAAGTGGAGGGTGTTCCATTCCTCTCCTGATTTGCGCTTTGTGGATAGGCTTTGTGGAGTCAGGAGGAGGGTTACTCACTGCAGCTTCCTAGCCTCTGACCTGCTGTTGTAGCTAAAGTATTTATATGACTATTCCAGTTCAATTTCTGGTCAATGGTAACCCTCAGGATGTTGATAGTGAGTGATTCAACAATGGCAATGCTACTGAATGTCAAAGGGTGATGGTTGGATCCCCTGTTGTTAGATGTAGCCATTGCTTGATACTTGCACAGAATGAATATTACTTGGTACTTATCAGCCCAAACCTGCTGCATTTGGATGTGGACTGCTCCAGTATTGTACAAGTCTGTGCCCGATAGGACAGGCACGGAATTCCAGGTTCCTTGGCTTCATCCCATCACTGGATCATCTTTCAAAGGCAGAGTATGAAAGGAGCAGTTTCAGTAGTCAGTTGACCCCATTTGTGGTATATCATGGGAAGCTAACTGGAATTTTCCAATCATTTTCCGTGCTCCCAGAAACATCTGCAATAAGAGTTATTGCTTGAAGATGGGAAACTGGGGTGCCTCTGTTCCAGGCAATCTTAAAAGCCATCCTGCCTGCTTCACTTCAGCTGTAGCCACACGAGGTGCAACAATGTTTACTTAGGAGCAAATTACTGCAGATGCTGGAATCTGTACTGAAAACAAAAAATGCTGGAGATCACAGCGGGTCAGGCAACATCCATGGAGAAGTCTGGATGACTCTTCATGCTTTATCCACAGTGATGGTATGGTTGCAATGGGCTTTGTTAATCAAAGTTTTAAAAGTAGAAATTAACTCTGCCTTGCTTAATTTTGATAAATCAGTTTTTGCTTCTCCAGTGCTGATGGATTTGCTACCGACCTGTCAGTTTGACAACCCTCATCTCTCCTTAATTAGATGCCGAGCTCGCCCTCTTCCCACTGGAGAAAAATCACTGCTGATTAACTATTCCCCATACAGGAATATTGAGCCTGGCAGTGGTAGTGTGAAGCCTGTGGGGAAAATCCTGCATTCTGTGTGGTCAATGTAAAGTGGCTCCATTAGTTTCTGAAATTTTATCTATGGAGTTAATCTGAGTACATCCATAGAAAAATCTTGTAGCTGGTTCTTTTGAAGATTCTTATGAGCCAGTTTTATACTTTGGAGTTTTCTTCCAGCTTAGATAGGCTAATTGATCTTGATAGCTGCTTACATTTGTGTTTATCTATGTAGACATAGTTCTCCTATAACACAACAGTTGCATTCTTATGTGACCTCTTCTAAAGAAAATCACATTTTAGGGAAATCGCTATACGTGTACAGCAGCAAGTTTGCTTTATCCAAACAGCGTCTACTATTCTTCAATCGATTTGCAGCCAATTCATGTCTGCAAGTTTTGCTTTTCCCACCTGCTCTTTATAGATTTTTATGTATCTTTTATATACTGCTTCCCATCTTGTGTCTGTCTCTAGCTCTCCATACTGTATTATGGAGACCAAACGTATATTTCTAGGCTCTACAGTTCTTCTCTTGGGCAAGAAAAGAATCTCCTGAACTCTTTTCTGAGAGTATAATAACCACTGCAGTATATACTAAATTATAGGCATGCCAATCATCAAGAGTCCTAATTTTTATTTTTGATAAATCGTGAGCTTTGTTAATGAGTGGTGTGGGGGCAATTCAGCTGATGCAACTGATGCTGTTCTGCATCCCATACCTGCGCTGCATCCTCCTTAAAG